ACCTGCCTGCTTCTCACGCAAAGCCTCGTGCCCTACCCTCTGTTCATCCCATGGGCCTGTGCACCACCTCCGCCCTTGCAGCAGCGGTTTTGCCAGCCCGGCCAGCTGTCTTCATTCCCCTGCAGCTAGCGCCCAGTGTTACGTACGCAGGCGCTTCCTCCCCCGTCCCTTCCCTCCCCTTGCCACCCCCTTTCCCCGTTGGACGCCCACCCACCCACCCACTGCTCCCCTTCAGATTTAGTTCCACCCCCTCCGTAATGCCTCAGTGGTTTTCACCCTTGCCTGACCCACCCTGGCAGCGCGGCACGGCGCCACACGCCCTGCCCCGCCGTGCCGCTGCGCCAGCGCCCCTGCTGCATACAGCTGGTTCGCCTGCAACCCTCAGTAGCGGCGCAGCTTTTCAATACACAAGAGAGGCCAGTGCGAAGGCAGGTCGAGGCAAGCGGCAAGGGAGGAGGCTGTACTCGACGCACTGCCCCCATACCCACTCACATCTGCAAAGTAAATGGAAATCTGGGCCAGCAGGCCGGCCAACTCGTACGCTTCCGAGGTAGCCATTCCGCAAGGTTTGTAGTGGGTGAGCTTGGCGTCGGCATCGGCGTTGATTGTGAAGGGGCGCTGGGCACATGATAGCGCCGGGTTGATGACCCAGCGCTGCTCCGAAGGGCGAAGTGTCCGCATCTACGGCCAGGTGGCAAGCAGCAGTTCAGGCATGGAGGACGGGTTGCACCATCACGCATGAGGTGTGTTATCACTGCCCTGCTGGCAAGCATGGCTGAGCTGAGCTGTGGGCACACAGCAGCAGCAGCAGCTGCAGCAGCAGCAAGCATGGGTATAAGCATGCCAAGCATTGGATCCTTACCTTTGGCAACAGCAAGGCCGTAACCTCAGCCGACGCAGCGCCCAGTGCCGGGTCAGACTCTGCTGCCTCCTGAGTGGCCAGCATCAGCATAGCGACGGCAGCATCTGGCTCGGCGCCCTCAACCTGTTGCGGCGTGCATGCGTGCATGGCGGGCGCCATTGCCGCCTGCTGCTGTTTTGGGGCAAGTGGCGGGGCGACTCGCAAAGCCGGCCCTGCCGGCTGCACTGCTGCTGGGCAGGCGACGTATCCTCCTGCTGCGACATGCCACCAGCACAGGGTGCACACTCGCCGATTGGCGAGCTGAAGATGTTGGCACCGCAGCGGGTAGGGCAGATGCTCAGGTGCTGCTCCACGCGTGCATGCCGCATTGCAAGCCCAAAGGTCTTGGGATTGATGGACAACAACAGCCGTGGCTCAGCTTGCCGGTGCTGCACCGCGCCGCAGCAAGCTGATCAAGGACTGATGCAAAGCTGTGCGTGGCCACGCCCGCCTGTGCCTCCAGCAAGCCCGAGAGGATGGCCACGCACCCCTCGTACCAGAATGTAGGTGTGACGGGAGTGCTAGCATGGCAGCCGACTGCAGCTGGGTGCATCTCAAACTCGCCACAGCTGGTGCTGTCGCACCTGCATAGGGCAGGGCAGGGGCCACAAGCTCAGTTCAGCACCCACATGGGAGCAGCAATGAGCAGCATACAAAAGCAGTGAGTCATTTCCCCCAAGCTTCGGCTCACACATACCGAAGGATGGGCACCTGTATAACGCCTATGCCGGACAGGCCTTGCAGCAGCACACTGCGCCAGCTAACCACCTCCACGCATGGGTATGAGGCGCAGCAGTTTGGGTGCGGTGCGCCGCTCTCGACGTAAGCCTGCACGTGTCGCTGCACAGTTGCCACCCGCTGCTGCAATTCGTCCTCTTGCGCTGCTGCCAGCTGGGGGCTGAGCATGATGCGGTACTGCACTCCCTGCTCAGTATGCTGCCGAAATCGGTTCTCAAGCAACAGCAAGCGCTCACCATGCGACTGCACGGGCTGTCGGGCACTGCCTGCGCTGCGGCCACCCCGCTGGTGTGGACCGCTGCTCAGATCCTCAGTGTCTGACTCATGCTGCCAATCAGGTCCGCACACATCCTCATCATCTCCCAGCAAGTTCTGCAATCGTTTGTCGGCTAGAGCGCGTTGCAGCCGCACGGCCCTCGACTTTGCCGCTGCCCCTTTCGCCGCCGCCTCCTCTGCCGCCTGCTGCTCCGCCCTTGCTCTGGCTGCAACTTGCGCCTGATGCTGCTCGTAAGTCACGCGTCCGACAGCCCTACGGCGTGATCCTGCAAGCCAGGGCCGCTGAGTGTAAGTGGATGGTGGATGATAAGCCCAGCAGATGTCGGGTGCTCTGCCGGGGAGCACCTGCTCCCTCGGCATGGTGACACATAAGTTGCTTACCCTTCATACCAATCTATACCGACGGTGTCGGCAGACAAAGGCCTGGGCGCAGCCTGGGATGGGGCGCAGGGGGTGGCGGGCCCCGGCCGTGCACTTGCAGGGCTGTTGGGGTTAGAAGAGAGCCAATGGAATGCAAACAGAAGCCAAAAGACGCAACAACTGATAATGAATGGCTTGGGAGTGGCCTGGGAATGGCTTGCTGGGTTTCGCTATGGGGGACCGCAGTCACCGATCGACCATTCCCGGTAGGAAAGTCGATGGCCATTAGCTGTGCAGCGGCTCCGAAATGCCACTTCGCGAAGCAGGACGCTCCTGGCTTCTTCCTGCAGCAAGGCATCTGGCTGGCGGCGTGCTCGAACGTCTGGAGTCGCTACTCAGGGCCCGATCGCCTTCACTTGGCCCATACCAACCCAAACCCTCTCCATGCCTCTGCACAGCATCCGTGGAGCTGGACAAGCCCCCGCCAGCCCCCTGCTGGCCGCTCCTGATGATGTGCTGGGCTTCCTCGCACGTCTGCTGCCCGTGAGAGACAGGTGAGGGTGCTGGGATGCGTGTGCTACGCGTGAGTGTGTGAGAAGACGCTGCGCTGCGCCCTGGCACCCGTGGCCGGAGCCGCCGCCGCTGCTGCCGACCTGCCCCCCCGACTCCCCTCCTTTTGCAGGCAGAGCCTGGCCGCCACGTGCACTCGCCTTGCTTGTTGCTTGCTTGTGTGGGCTTAAAGTCTGGTAAAGCAAGAACTAACTTGCAACATAGACTCCCCGCCGAAACGGGACGGGAACCGGGCGAAAGCAGAGAAAGCAATAAAACAAGGGTGGAGCAAGGCGACATGCAACGCAAGCAGCTGACAGGGCACGCATCGAAACGTGTGTATGACTGGCAAAGTGGCATGGCGCATTGGGGAGAAACGCAACGGTACGGGAGCATGGGCTGGCCAAATGGCAGTGCGGAACGCTAGGTCACTAGAAAAGCAGGGAAAGGCGCACTATGTATGCAATGAGGGCAGCCTGCGCTTCGCTTCACTGCTCTGGTTCCCCACCGTCAAGCTGAGTCGCCTGCCAGAGGACCCGGAGGAGGCAGCACTGGTGGCCGCCTGGCTGTGCGAGAGACGCGGTGAGCCCGTGCCGCCAGGCTGCCTCTGCTGCAGCGGCAGCTGGCAGCCCTGGCTTCCGTTCTGCTCTGAGATGGAAGCCGCTCTGATCCTCTCCTGCTCGCCGACCTCTCCTGCCCCTCACGCCCCCGCCACGACATGCCGTCGCCTGCTCTGCTGTGCAGACAGAGCCGCCATCGAGGTGCATGCCGGCCGTGAGGAGGAGGGGCAGCTGGCGCTGATCGACGGCCTGGTTGCGCTGCGCAGCGCGCCTGTTGTCTCCCTTCAGATCTTCGCGGCGGACGCTGACTTGCCCTCCGACTTCCTGGCTGGCTACGAGTGCCTGGTGGACCTATATTGGGAGGGGGGTGCATGGAGGGCAGCTGGCGGGCCATCTCGCACCTCACCCAGCTGCAGCGCCTGAGCTTGGTTGAGGTTGGCGTGGAGCGGCTGCCCCGGGGTGTCGAATCTGCGGGCTTTGACCTATTTGAATTTGAATGGCAGCCTTGAGGGACAGGGCGGCTGTCAGCACCTTGCGGCGCTGACGCAGCTGCAGGAGCTGGTTCTGGGGTACTGCGGCCTGACCCAGCTGCCCGCGGTCCTGTCACGGCTCACCGCCCTCCGCCTCTTGGGCCTGAGCGGCATCCACGTCCAGAGCGGCTTCCAGCACCTAGCACCGCTGTCGCGGCTGGAGGAGCTGGACCTCACTCCTGGGGAGCAGCTGCCCGCCGTGCTCACGCTGCTGACAGCTTTGACCTCACTGTCTATCTTTGGCGATGACATCACGCTGGAGAACGGCTGGCAGCACCTGGAGCCCCTGCGCCAGCTGGAGGACTTGCATCTGATATGCTGCTTGCATGAGCAGCTGCCGCAGTTGCTGGCGCGCCTGGCCACGCTGACCAGCATTTCGATCGATAGCAACACGCATTTGCGGCACGGCTGGCAGCACCTGCCGGCAGCCTCCCTGCAGCGCCTTGCCTTGGAGGCTTTGGCAGTGGAAGAAGTGCCTGTGGCGTTCTCGCGGCTGACGTCGCTGACAGCATTGATGCTTCACCATTGCTCTCTCGATGGCGGCTGGCACCATCTGTGGCCGCTCCGTCACCTGCGTCAGCTGGTGGTGTCGGGCTGCCCGGAGAGACGGCTAACAGAGGTGCCGGAGGAGCTGTCGCAGCTGACTGGTTTGACCAGCTTGTACCTGCAGTCCAACTGTCTAGAGGGAGGCTGGCAGCACCTGCTGCCGCTGGCACATCTTCAGCACCTGGACTTGTCTGATTGCGGCTTACAAGCTGTGCCTCCCGAGTTGGCTGCTCTGCAACGGCGGCAGGGCCTGGAATCCCTTTAGGAAGGGAGGCCCTTAGTCGTTCAGCGGTGCCCAAGTCCTGCTGGTCCGCTGCCAGTTTGGCCGCGCTGGTCACTTCTTCCCCTGTGCATGCGCTTCTGTACCCATCTCCCTACCAGTTTCGACCCACCAATAGTGATAAATCCCTGTGAGCTGTGAACTGCGTAACATATGTGCAGTGCATGCAAGTACATCTGTGCAAAGTTTAGCGCTGGATTTTAAAACAAGGCTGCATGCGAGGAAAATGAAGAGCAGCTGGGATCAGCTCCTGCTGCCGCTGCTGGCAGTGCCTCTGCTGACCGCTGCCAGTTGGGCGCACTGCTGTATGTGCCCGCCCTCCTTCCAGCGCCGACGCTGGCAGGCGCGGCTGCAGTAGGCCACCACACGGCAGCGGGGGCACTTCTTCACACTGGCAGACCGTTGGCTGGTCGTAGCCAGCTGCTGGCGATGAACAGATCCTGGTCACTGTGTTGCTCTTCAGTGGAGCTTGCAGTCTTCGTGTTTCAGCTTGCATGGCGTACGGGTAAGGCAGAGAATGGATTGATTTGTGGGCAAACTTAGTGCAAAAAGGTTATGTCAGAGAGGATAAGAAACGTGCCCAGTACGCGAAGCCAGACAGATCAGTCATCTGAGGGCAGTTGCCGACATTCAGTGCAATCATGCAAAATACAGGGATAGCTGAAGATTGAATAAGTGCTGGTAGGCCACAGCATGGCCACAGCGTCCACGGCGTCCCGCCCGAAGGCCAAAGGCGAGGGCAGCGCTGAACAACTGGCAGGCAGGTCCGAGGATGCCCGCAGACCTCAGTCCTTCCTCAGTTGATGGTGCAACATGAGGGCGACGCCGAGGCGCCCTGCGGCGGCTGCTGCTGCGACCGCTGCTGCAGCGACTGCTGCTTGTGAGACAGCTGCTTCCGCGACTGCTGCTGCCGAACACCGGGCAGGTCGTCGGCCCACATGGAGGGCAAGCGGGAAGAGTGGTTGCTCAGCCTGCAGGCACCACCTGGCAGCATGCTGCTCAGCAAACCCACATCATGTGTGAAGGTGGGGGTGCCCCCGCCGCGGCCACCACCCCCGCTGCAGGTCGCCAAACCTTGCAGGGCCGTCCCAAAGCCAACGAAAAGCGAGCTAAGACACACTTGCCTGTCCTCAAACAGCTCCAAGTCTTCCGCGTTGCTGGGCGAGCGCAGCATGCCCAGGAAGTGGTCGAAGTCGATGGGCGCGGCGGGGCTGCCCAGCACGTCGCCCTCGCCGGCCTCCGCTGCAAACGGGCTGGTGCCAGCGGCGGCGCCGCCCGTGGCCTCCAGGAGCGCCTGATGCACCGCCGCATCCACCTGCAACACGCCCGGCACGCAGGCGCCGGTGCTTGGACAAGGGTCGCATCGCGTTCGCCACATCGGAACCAGCCGCAGCAAGGATGGGCCGGCAGCAAGCACGCCCCACGCTGCCTACCCCCCCCGGCTGCCGCCGCACCACAGCCACAACGGCACTCCACCCCACACGCACCTCGTATGGTGACAGGTGGCTGCCAAAGGCGGCCGCGATGTCTGCAGCGCCCAGCGCGCCGCGCCCGTCTTGGTCCAGCTCAGCAAAGGCGCGGCGGGCGCACTCCAGCCAGCGGTCCTTGTACGTGTCCTGCAAATGCATGCACAGCACGGCAGGTTCGACACACACACCACAGCACAGCATGGTATATCATGGCTCAGCATGACACAGCGCGGCTCAGCAGAGCAGGCTGCCCCAGGCTCGGCAGCGCAGGCGCCTCAAAGGCGCCTGCTGCGCACCTGGAACGCCTTCCAGTCGATCAGCCCCGCCGCCAGCTCCACCTGAGTCACCTCTCCGCGGTGCCCGACATCCACCACGTCAAACAACTCCTCCACCTCCCCCTGCACCAGGGCACGGCAGGGAAGATGGGCCTCCCGCGCCCTGCACGCTGTGCAGCTGGCTGTGCCTCGCATGAAAACCTGCAGCCAGCAGCCTATGCTACCGCCACCCTACCTGCTGCAGGTGGTACCCAATCTGCTCCAGTGCCTGCTGCAGCTGGTGACGGTCGATCTTCTGCCCTGCAGGCAGGCGAGCAGGCAGACGAGTGGCGGTCGCGCTCAGGCAAGCACATCATCAAAGTGTGCAGCAGCTTGCAACGTGAAGCTGATGTCTGGCATGTTGTCTGGACAGGCCTGCCGGCGCCTCACCTGGGTCGCGCCTCCCATGCCGTGCCCCGCTCAACGCCACCGCTACACACGACACACACGCCTCCCCCCCTCACCACGACCGCTACACCAACACAAAGCCAACGGCGGGCCGGCTGCCTTTGGCCACACACACCTGGGCGCAGGTGCAGCTGGTCGAAGAGCTGTGCCAGGCGCTGGGAGTAGGGCGTGGCTACTGGCAGGTATAGAGACGCGCTGAGTGCCCCGCCGTCCAGCCCGGCGCTGCCTGCTCGGGCCATGCCTGCGCCGCTGGCGAAGCGCGCGAGCGACTTGGTGCTGGCGGCGCGGACGAGCGCCGCGGTGCCGCCGCGCCGGCTGCCCTCCCCGCGCCGGCTGCCCTCCCTGCTCCTGTCCCCGCCGTGCACGCTGCGCTCCAGCCGCACGGCAGCCAGAGCGGCAGAGGCCACAGTGTGAAAAGCGGTGCGGCTGCCGTGGGCGCTGCCCTCCAGAGCCTGGGACCCGGCGCGCGTGTGCAGCATCCCCGATGCGCTGCGGTCCGCCATGGCGGCCGCAAACGCCTGGCCGCCCTTCACGCTCCTCTCCTTGAACACTGCAGGGAAGGGCAGCGCGGGGCGGTGTGCCGGGCAGGCAGCTCAAACCACGGCCTGCCCGCAGCAGCGAGGGAGCTGCCACCCAAGAGGGCGGCCTCCAAGACAAGCCACGCAGGCAGGCGGCCGGCTGCGTCGGCTGCGGCCGCGTGGCGCTTGCCCGAGGCGCCGTGGGAGGTGGGCTCTGGGGTGAAATGCATGGCCAGAAGGTCGGCGGCAATGTGCTCCAGCACGCTGCGCTTGAACAGAGAGTTCTGGGCGAAGCGCTGCAGGCAGGGAGCGGGGAGCGGGGACGCCGGGGTGGGACACAGCAGCCGCGGGCCCAGGAAGGCGAGACCGGGTCAGGGGAGGCAAGGAGGGCTGGAAGAGGGCCGGGGCATCCGGCATCGGGGCGTGCAGCAAAGGATGGTGGGGTTGGGCGTGCAGCCAAGGGGTGGTGGGGTGCTGGTTCATGCGAGGCGCCGACGGCCTGCGGCAGCCCGGCCGGTGGCTGCGCCTGCTGCGTGCCTGTATGCGCTGCACCACGGTCTTATCCAGCGGCTTGCCGGCGGCACGGTCCTCCTTCTTGCCCTTGAGGAAGGGGTGTCGCAGGGCCTCTTCGGCGCTGGGCCGCTGCAGGGCAAGCAGGACAGGGTGGGAGGTGGGGTGAAGGTCAGGTGGGGTGAACCAGGAGGCTGGGGCAGGCCGCAGGGAGCCAGCCAGGCGCTGGCTGGTGTGCCCTTGTGGGTGCTGGCTGCCGTGGCGGCGACACGAGTGTGCGTGCCTGCAGCGGATCTTTGACCAGCAGGCCCTGGATGAAGGTGCGAGCCTCCTCGGACAATGCCTGGAATTGGGGCTGCGCCAGATCCAGCTCCTCAAAGCAAATGCTGCGGCACATTGCAGCCAGGGAGGGAGGCAGCGGGGTGGGCAGCACACTGGGAATAAGAGGGTGCGGCTGCGGCTGCGCCTGCGGCTGCGGATGCTGAGGGCAGCAGGTCGCGCTCCCGCTGGGCCTGCTGGGCTCACCTGCGCAGCGTGCGGACCAGGTCGGGCATCTTTGGAGACATGCGGTCCAGGAATGGGTAGGCGCCTGAACGAGGAGTGGAGCGAAAAAGCAATGAGAGAATCTCGCAGGTATCGCACGAGAAGGAGACGAGGAACAGTGCACAGCGCAGAAGAGGCGAGGCCCTGCTTGCCTGTGAGGAGGTAACACGCCATGACGCCCACCGCCCACACATCGCTGACTGGATACCACTTGGCGCGGCAGCACTCGGGCGCCAGGTACCTGCAGCCAGGCAGGCAGGCAGGGCGCAAGGTGAGGTCTGCGCCCGCCAGCAGGCTCCTGCAGTCTGGTACCAGCCTGGTTGGCAACCGCATGCCTGCGCATCCTGCAACACGAAAGGGCTCTTCGTCCTACCTCCTCCCTGGGAGACACACCCGTACCAGCAGCCTCTGCACCAGCAGCAGCCCCTGCCCACCCACCAGGGCGTCCCCTCTGGGTTGAGCCCCGTCACGGGCAGCTGCTGCGGGTCGAAGAAGACGGCCAGCCCAAAGTCGATTGCCTTGATGGGGGACGTCTCCTCCTCCGACAGCAGCAGGAACTGCAGGGTGGGCAGGCAAGGGGAGGCGTGTTGCGGTCAGGAGGTGTGCGCAGCCATGGGGGACAGAGTGCAGCAGGAGCTGAGCAAAGGGAGGAGGAGGTGGAGGAGGCAGGTGGTGAGCGGGGTGCAAGGCCAGGGCAAGCGGGGGAAGGCAGCGCCCACCCCTCCCTTGCTGCCAAGCATGGCCACACGCCCACACATACATCCCTCGCCCACACCATGCGGCAGCACCCAAACACCACCACCCAGCCCCACCCACGTTCTCGGGCTTGATGTCCCGGTGGATGATGCGCTTGGCGTGGCACACCGCCACCGCGCGCAGCACGGCGCGCAGGAAGGAGGCGGCGGTGCGCTCCGAGTAGTGGCGCGCGCTCTTGGTGCGCGCCAGCAGCTCGCCGCCGGAGCAGTGCTCCAGCACCAGGTGCACGTGGCTGCCATCCTCACACACCTCCTCCAGGTTGGCCACGTTCAGCGTGCCCCGCAGCGCCAGCAGCACCTCCACCTGTGGGCAGGCGGCAGCAGGACCGAGCGGAACGTGCAAGGGGGGCAGAAGTGGACAACAGGGGGGCTGGTGGGAATGCAGGGCGAGGCAACAACAGTGCAAGCGGCCGCACCTCGCGCTTGAGGTAGGGGATCTGCTCCGCCTTCTTGCGCTCGCTGGCGTTGGGGTCGGCCAACACCTTGGGGATTGACTTGATCGCCACAGTGCGGCCTGCCTTGGCATGGCAAGGTACAGCGGCGGCAGCGGCGGCGGCGGCGGTAGTGACGGGAGGTTGTCGGGCGGGGCCAGGGGCGGCTGCAGGCGACCAGGCGGGGCCATAATGGGCCTGCTTTCGCGGTGGGGCCCACCTGAGGCGATGCAGCGTCCCAGCCGCACCACGCCATTGCCGCCCCGCCCAATCTCCTTGCCAAGCTCGTAGCGCTCAGCAAACCCTGAGCTGTAGCCCAGGTGCGGCGCCTTGTCGCTGGGTTGCTTCTTGCCCCACGCCATGCGAATGGGGCGAGGCCAGCGAGGGCCGCTCCTGGCTCGCGGACAGGAGCAGCAAGCGCTTCAGGGCACTGGGAGGATCTCTGATCGCGCTTGAGGAAGGCTGTTGGAGCCGCCCCGCTGGCGCCGCCCTGCTGGCGCTGACCAGTGTCGTGACGAGGTTGTGCGGGCACAGTCCTGAGCTAGAGAGGCATAGAGGCTACATCCCTGGGGGCCACAATTTTAAGCCTCTGACTCCCAAGGAAGATCAAGTTAAGCACAGTAGCGCAGTACCTAGCTGACTGCATCGCCCCCGCTCTGCCACAGACGGGCCGCAACGCGGCGTTGCGGCCCGGCCAGCGCTGGGCAGTGCCCAGGTAGCCCGTGCCTCCCACAGTCATATATCAGGGTACGATGGAGCCGCCATAGACCCACCAGGAAGCTGGGGCATAACGTGATTGGGTGCCCTGCTGGCAGGCATGAGTAATCCAAGGCTCTCTTCTTCACCTCTTTGTTCTCACACCATGTTCAGCCTCTTCTCTCACCCACTCCTGAGCCCGCTCTACATGGCGGGCACTGCAGCAGAGGCCTCCCTGCCCCCAGCCGCCCCTCCCACCCTCGAGCCTCCGACACCCCTAGGTCCGAACTCCGAGACTACCTGCTCCTCTGCCTTTGCCCACCACGGCCACCTGGTGCCAGAAACGCTCTTCTCGGGGCCGGGCCGGGCTGCGGGCCGCCGCGGGCGCCCGCCACAGCCGCCGGCGGCTTCCGCCGCCGCCGCGGCCGGCGCCACGCCCGGCAGCGCGCGCCCGCCCAGCGCCGGCGGCCCAGGCAGCGGCCTGCTGAGGCCGGGGGCGCCTGTCAAGGTGCACCACGCAGACCACGAATGGGATCCAATCCAGGCAAGCTGTCGGTGCTGCTGGCGCGGCAGCCCTCCTCGCATCGGGCCCCGCCAGCTGAGCTGCCTTCGCTGCTCAGCAGCAGCCCCTCCTCTCGCTGACCCGTCCCGGTCGCCACAGCTTCCGCCGACCATGAACACGTATGCTCCCTGCCTGCAGGCGCAGGGCAGTCGCGATGACGACCCGCTGGACCTGCACCAGCTGCAGGAGCAGCTCAACCAGCTCAACGGTGGGGCCGCCTGCCTTGCCTGCCCGCCTGCCTGCCTGCCTGCCTGCTGCCTCTCCTGTTGCTTCTGCCGCCGCACACGGGCCTGCTGAACATCACGTTGGATGCCTGCACAGCAAGCAGCCCTCCGCCCTGCAAGATGCTTCACCTTGCCGCAAGCCCTGACGCCCTGTGCCGCATGCCGCATGCCGCATTCCTGCTAGCAGCCATGAGGAGCAGCTCGCTGGGACGGTTCCAGTCCGGCGGCCCCACACACCTCGAGTTCCCTCTCTACTATTAGCCAGGTGCTGCTCTCGCATCGTGGCTCAAGTTTGGCAGCCGAACTCAACCTTCCTGCCGCTGCATCCCTTTGGTATGACCAGTTCCTTTCTTCAGCGCTGGAAACCCCTGGCCCGCTGCGTGAGCAGAGCGGTTAGCAGAGCGGTGAGCTTGCACCAGTTTGAGCCCGTCCTACATCTGACCCGACTCAATACCCCGCCCCCTCCAACTCCACCCCAATTCCTGACTTGTGTGTGTCTGCGCTCGAATCGACGTGTGCCTACTACGTAGCACGATATTGACAGCAATGCAGTGTGACCCTATCAATGCACGTCGCCCCGTGCGTGACCTTAGTGCTTGGCCCGTGCCACTGCCTGGCAATTTGTTGCCTGAGCCAGCTGACCATTTCTGTGTGGCCCGTCCCATCCCGCCCCGCCGTGACATAGTGCTTAGCGTTCTGCCTGGCAATCTGTGATCCAAGACAGTTGTGCCCCGATCCAAACGACCTGTCCTCTCGCATTCACACACTTTCTTCAGCCTTTCATTCCCTGCCCGCCACTGTTTTCCGATCTTCTGCCACTCTCCTCATCTCACTCTCTGTGCTTCAAGAATGCCTCTCCGCCAGTTTTGCTGACCTGACCTGCCACCACCTATTCTGCCTGCCTCGCACTCGCTGCTGTGCTCTCACCAAGTTTTGATCCACCCATAGTTTTGCCTATTTGCCCAGCACACATCTGCTTGTTGTTTGCTTCGGCCTTGCAAGAATCAACCCAACTAACAACCCCGCGGCAGGAGATGGAAGGTCACACACGCATGCCGCCCAGAGCAGTGCGTAACGCTGCCTCGAGCCCGGCAATGTCGGCTTCAACAGACGCCAGGCCAGGGACTGGCGGGCTGCACGGCAACGAGTGCGTGGCAGATGGCTGGTGCCCCTTGCAGTGCCGCTGCGGCTGCCCTGCCGCTGCTGCTTGCTTGGACGGCGAGGCGTGCGTGCCTGCTGCGCGCTGTGGGCTGCAGTAGTCGCTGGGTGGGGGCCAGCTGTCGGTGCTGCCTGCTGCCGGTATGGTCCAACCTGCCTCGCTGCTGCCGTAGTATTCTTCCTCTGGCCAGGCATCAGGCCCAGGCATGGGTGCTGCTGCTGCTGTCCCTCCATCACCATAGCCGCCCACCCAGGCTGCGGCCGCATCCGCAGCGGCTGTGGCAGCATCCAGCAGCGACGACAGCCGCCCGCTGGCGCTGCCAAAGTCGCCGCCACAGACGTCGGCCTGCCAGCTGGCGCAGTCGCCGCTGACGGCGGCGGCGCCAGCCTGCCCAGGCGGCGGCGGAGCCTCCTCCCAGCCGTCGCCGCTGGCAAAGTACCCAGCTCCAAGCCCGGTCTCCCCATCGGCAAACTCCAGTCCGCCATAGGCAGGATACACGTCAGCTCCAGCCTCCCCCTCACCCAGAATCCCTGCTCCCGCTCCCCTCCCGGGGCGACTGCTGACCAGGTCCAGGGCGGATCGGATGTCTGCCTGCTGCTCCTGGATCGTGGCCTCCAGCTGCTGGATCGTCTGCTGCTGGGCAGCGGTCAGCTGCTCCTTGGCAGCCAGGGACGCCTGTGGCCGGCAGAGTCGGCAGCAGGTAGCGTCAGCAGAATGTCCAGCAGTGCGATAGGTGGTGATCGGGGTGGGTGTGCGCGAGAGAGAAGGGTGGGGTTGGTGGTGGTGGGCGAGACAAAGAAGCCAACAGGAGGCTCTGCTGCAACACGCCGCCCACTTCAGCACACAAAGCAGCCATGCAGGCGCAGTAGCAGCGCACGGACGCCCCACCTGTAGCTGCGCCCCCGCCTGCTGCGACTCCCGCAGGCGCGCCGCCAGCTCAGCGCACCGCCGCCGCAGCCCCTCCACATCGCTCTGCAGCCGGTCGGCCTGGCTCTGCAGGGAGCGCACAGCAGGGGCCATCGGGGCTAAGCACAGCAAGCTCGCCAATGGCAGCCATGCGACTGGACCCTCGACAGATAGCCGCAGCTGGCAAAGCCCCGCCATGCGAGCGCTCTCACGAAAGCAGACAGGCGCGGCCCTGCCAAGCACTCAAAGCGCACCTGCACCTCCGTGCTGGCCGCCAGCGACTGCGCTTCGCGCGTGCGCAGCTTGGCTGCCGCCTCGGCAAACGCCGCCTCGTGCTGCGCCGCCATGCCCTGCCACCTGGCCACCTGCACAGCCGCGCATCAGCCGCTCAGCGTACACAACAGAGCGCCCACCTCTGCTCTGCCAGAGCGGCCGATCAATATCACCCAAGCGGGCAGCAGGCAATCCATTCGCAGCAGCAGTGGCAGCGCAGCAAATGTGAGGGGCTTGCCTCTTCCTGCACCGCCGCACGCTCCCGTACCGCCGCCGCCAGCTTCTCCTTGAGCAGGTCCACCTGGCCCTTGAGGGAGTGCGCTGCGGCACGGTACTGCGGAATCACCGCATCCAGCTGCCGCATGGCCGCCTCCACGCGCCCCGTACCGCCCGCACCGGCCGCGGCGGCGGCGCTGCTGCTGGCCTCTGCTGCCGCCGCCCGCTGCCGTGCCTCAGCCAGCGCTGCCCGCAGGCGCCGCACCTCTGCCGAGAGCCGCTCCTTATCGGCATCCGCGCTGGGGGCTGGCGGGTTGGCTGCGGTGGGGTGGCTGCCGCCCAGGCTGCTGCTGGCACCGGTTGACAGCACGGGCCTGGGGCCGGCGCTGGCTGCTGCGCTGCTGCTCTGGTCCTGCCACCGCACAGACCTGGTGCTGCCGTCGGGCGCGGTGAGCAGCATGGGAGCCGCGGCGCCGCCGCCGTCCGCGCCGCCGCTGCCAGAGAACAGCGCCGCCAGCTGCGACAGGCCGCTGAAGACGGAAGAGAACTGGCGGTGCAGGTGTTCAGGCGTCGCGCCTCGCTGTGCCGCATTGCGGCCGCCGGGCAGTGGCGTTTTAAGGGCCGGTGGGGGCGCGGCGTGCGGGCCAGCCGCCCCTGCAGCGGAGGCTATCGCCAGCGGCATGGCGGCTGCCTGCAGGTCCTGCACCAGGCTGTGCAGGCGCTGCACCTGGCGGTGCGCCTCCACCGACCGCTGGTGCACCGAGCGCTCCACTTCAGCCAGGCGACCCCGCACGGCCTCCAGGCCGCCGCGGCTCTTGGCAGCCGCCGCCTCGCCCCGCTCCTTCACCGTGCGCAGCTCGGCCTCCAGCTTGGTGTTGACGTAGGTGAGCTGCTTGAGCTCGGCTCGAGCGCCCTGCGCCACCGCATCGCTCGCCTTGGCGTGCGCCGCCAGCCGCTCCCGCTTCTTCTCCTCCTGCCGCAGCGCCTCGCGCAGCGCGCCCACGTCGCGCGTCAGGCTGCGCACCTGCGGGTGCACGCCCCAAGTGAGGCAGGCCGTGGGTCAGCAGACTGGCTGGCTGGCTGGCTGGCGGCAGGGAGAGAGTGGGCGACGCCGACGGCGGGGTGGCTTGGGAGCCAGTGCGGGACGTTCCCGCGACATATGTTTCGCAAATTGCGTTGAGCTGAGAGCTCGGCCGGCTACGCCCCTCGGAGAACAAGGCTCCTGCCACTGCCTCCGCCGCACCACAACCACCATTCCGCACGCACCTGCACCTGCAGCTTGCCGGAGTCCATGTAAGCCGCAGCTAGGTGTCCCGGGCGTCCACCAGGGTGCTGGGGCGCACAATTCGTGTGGGTAACTGTCGGAGCCGCGGGTGGTTTGGAGCTTGAAAAATGGTGCGCGCAGGTTGGCGGCACCGCCCAGGTAGGGGACGACCGAAATGCCGCAAGCCTGCATTTTGTATTCGCAGCGGCGGCAGCGGTACTCGCACGTACCCCACCAGCTTGTCGCCGGTGTTGAGCGCGCGCCACAGCTGAAATTCTTCTTTTTCTCTCTTACTAAGCAGCATCCTCAACCATGAAGCTCATCATCCCATCAATCATGCAGCTATTGATTCCTGCATCCTTGAGCGGCCACCGGTTGCCGCCGCCGCACGCTGACGAAACGGGTCTGCGCTGGATGCCTGGTCGAATCATGGTGTTCTTGCTACCTCCAGCGCTGCACTAGCGCAGCTGCGCCGCACAGATGTGTTTGCATGCACTGTACAAATGCAGATGTAGTGCAGCCTGCTCACAGCCTGCTGTGTCCCGACGCCTTCTTCTTGCCGCCCGACAGCCGCTCCAGCACAGCGCCCAGTTGGCCCACCACCGCCGGCGAGCAGAGCATCTCCCAGGCGCCCTCGGCCTCCGGCTCTGCATACGCCGCCCACTGCTGAGCATAGTCGCCGCGCAGGTTCAGCTTGGTTTCCTGTGGGGCAGATGGAAGCAGAGCAGGAGCAGGTGGGCAGTCAAAGGGCAGGATGGGGCAAAGCAGTGCCGGGGCCAACAGAGCTGCGCATTGCTAAGAGCCAAGCCGCAACAGAAGCACCCAGAATGCAAGCCATGCGCCTGCCAGGCGGCAGCGCAGCGTTGCACAGGCTCCCCTCTGCTCACCGCACGGCTGAAGTCAGGGGAGACCAGCATCTGTGCCATGGCCTCCTCTGCAGCCGCCTGCGGGGAGCAGGGCGTGGCGCGGCAGCAGCGGTGAGCCGCGTGGAGCCAGCAGCTGTGGCTCCCCACAGACAGCGCAACTGGGCTGCAGAGGCAGCAGCAGCGCAGCACATGCATGCACTGCCTTCCTCCGGCTCCCAGCAGCAGCAGCAGCAGCAGCAGCAGCAGCAGTGTTGAGAGCCCACCAGCAGGCCCTCCTTGGGCGCCACATCATCAATCAGCCCAACCTCCTTGGCCGCCTCCGGCTGCAGCATCACCGCAAACTGAAGCAGCCTCTCCGCAGGGCCGATGCCGATGATGCGAGCCATGAGCCCTGCAGCAGGGAGGTGGAGCGGATGACACAGCAGTGCAGCACGGTCTCAACAGCCGAGGGCAAGACAACAGGGCGCCGGCGCTGCGGCTTTCAATTGTGAAACAGCCCAGCACTGGTGTGAGCCTGCGTGCTTATGCACCCCGATCTTTAGCCCACCTGCCCACATCTTGGGCACCGAGATGCCCAGAGCCACTTCGTTCAGCCCTGCAGGCGCAACCCAGGGCCCCAGCGTTGCTGGCACAGCGGATGACGGGCGGCAGACGGCGGCGGGCTGCAAGGGTCCGCGTTCAGGGCAGCAGCTGTCGGGGCCGCAGCTGCGGCCTGCTGCCTCCCTCACGGGCTCGCCAGCAGCGGTGGACAGAAAGCTCGGCACAGCGCCCGCACCCACCTATGCTCCCTGCTTCAGTCATCACGCGATAGTCGCAGCACATGGCCAGACAGCAGCCGCCAGCAGGGCAGGCGCCTGCGGGCAGGGGCCAAGGTCGGCACGGGAGCGGCGCGAGGTTCAGGCAGCGACGGCAAAGCTGGCTGCGCAGGCCTCCGAGCCGCATGCTGCTGGCGGTGCTCTGAGGAGCCTGGGGCAGCCGTCCTGCTGTGGATTCAAGGCACATCCCAGGGGCCTTTGAAGGCAGCAGGCGCACCTCGGATGGCGGCCACCGTGACCAAGGGCGAGGTGTACAGGCGAGCCAGGAAGCGGTTGCTAACCAGCCAAAACTCCCTGCCTTGCGGCAAGAGGAAAGAGAAGAAGAGCAGGTGGAGGCAGCGATGAGACCGGACACCAAGCTCTGCCGCGCATGTGCCAAGGCGGCTGCGCCTCGGCCAACAGCCGATGGCCCGGCCATCCTGCAACGATTGCCACGACCACAGCCACGCTCGCTGCCAGCCCGCCAGCCCTGCGCCTCCGCCGCCCTCACCTGTAGCGCTCCCGGGAGGTGAGCGGGGCATACAGCTCGTTGATGTCGTTGCCGGCGGTGAAGACGTCGCGCCTCAGGCCGGAGCAGAAGATGATGCCGCGCACCTGCGGCGTGCACGCCGGAACCGTTGAGCAGAAAGGCAGGGGGCAGGCCCGGCGCTTTGGCGCCGGCTGGCGAGGCGACAGCGCAGCAGGCAGCAGGCAGGGCGAGGCAGGGCGAGGAGGGGAAGGTCGTGTACGGCCTGCACGGGTGCCCTCGCGCGCAGCCGTGCACCATACAATCAGCCTGGCGCAGCCAGCCAGTCCCTGCCGTAGCGCTCCGTGCCGCCGCACCTCAGGGTCGCCCTCCAGCTCATCCAGCGTCTCGGTCAGCTGGCGCCAGTAGGCCAGATTCATAGTGTTGACCGGCTCCCGGCACAGCACCACCAGCGCGTAGCCGCCGGGGCGGCGCTCGATGCGCAGGAACTGGCCCTCCTGCTGCGCCGCCATCCTGAGCGAGAGCGGCAGGCGGTGGCGGCGGCGGCGGGCACTCTGCCAGCCAGCTGGACTGTCTGTTCGCTCGCTGCGGTGTCGTGGGCTCGCCCGGGGCTCAGAAACACGGTGCGGGACGGCGATCAAGGGCTGCAGAGTGTGGAGCGTGTGGATGCCGGGTGTCGGAGTGTGACGGGAGGGGGCTCGCCACGTTTCCAAGAATGGTGTGTACTGATTTTAGCAAGCTAGCGCCAAAAGCTGCGTCATGTCCTGCGAAATGGCTGGCAACCTTCTCGCTCGCTTGTTTTGTCCTGTAGCGCCTGAAAACGACGGCTGGCTTAGCTGTGAGGAGCGCAGGATTTCAGAAAGGGACACGGGCCCTGAGTTCAGGCTCATCTCACCATTCCCGCCCGGTCAGCGCAGCAGCAGGCGCCGCGGGCCACCACCGCATCACATCATCACATTGATACATGCTGCTTTAATTCTCCTAGTTCACCTGCAACCGTAACCCTCACTGGATGGATTTGACTGAAGGCGCCTGCGAGAGCTGACCTGCTGGAGCGCTGGCAGGCGGCAAGAAGAACGGCGGCGGCACAGAGCAGGGTGTGAGCTGTGCATTACATATCTGTACAGAGCATGCAGATACATTTGTGTGACGCAACATATTCTGCAAAGCGTGTAGCGCTAGGGTCAGACAGGGGTGCATGCAAGGCGAATGACCATGCAGCTGTTCAGCTCCCGGCGCTGCTGCCGCCAGCGCCACCGCTGCCCGCCTCCAGCTGCGCGCACTCCTGCTTGTGTCCGCCCTCCTTCCAGTGATGCACCTGGCAGGCGCGGCTGCAGTAGGCCGCTACGCGGCAGCGGGAACATTTCTTGAGGCTGGTGGCCTGCCGCCCGCAGCCGCTGCAGCGGGGTATGCTGGAGAATTGGCGGACGTGGGGTGCATCCAGCACTGGCGTCATCGCCTGCTCAGGACTGCACGCTGCCGCCTCGTTCACAGATTGTATGTCATCAGCAATCTCGCCCCTAAACTGGGCATGTAGTGCCAGCGGCATCCAGGGCTTGAACTTGGCCAGCGCGCTCTTGGCGGTCGCCAGCAGGCCGCGCACCTCCTCCACAGACCAGAACGGTCCGGTGCCGCCAGAAAAGAGAGATTCGGCCAGGCGAAGGGCTGCCACCATCTCTACCGAGTGGGCTGCACCCAGTCACATGTGCAACAGGGGGCCCAGGGGGCGGCAAATCAGTTGTCTTGTGGCAAAGGCAAATGCGGCCATGTACGCGTGCGTTCATGAGCCCACACTCACACTTGTGCTCTAAAGCTGCCCGCAGTGATGACCGGTATGCAGCCACGGCTTCCGCGTCGAGGTACTGAAACGCAGACATCAGTTCACCCCGCTTCCAGTGCAAGCAGGCGCCGGCGCTGGGGTCCAGCTCCATCAGCTGGCGGTTGGCAGACAGGTCCGCTGCCAGCCGACGCTGCGCGTCTGACACCCCAACCTGCCCTCGCCTCAGCAGTGCAAGGTGTGCGTTCTGCTGCATGTAAAGCGCCAGCAAGCGCATCTCCGCTGCATTCAGCACAGGGGCAGAACCTGCGTTGCGCTGGTGGAGCTCCAGAGCTACTGCCGCAGCTGGGTAGTCGGGCTGTGAGGTAATGCCGCCGGCGCGCTCTGCGATGTCCCTAAGCATAGCTTGGGACATGGGTGATGATTGAAAGCTGGCCAGCACTACATCTGCTATGTTGGCCATCAGGCTACCACACGGCGGCGGCGATCTTTGAAGTTCAGCGACCTGCATCTCGCAGATGGATCATATTTGTTGAAAATGCAGCTCATGCACAGTTCATCTATCAGCTGCAGATTTCATGCTCCAGGCCTCACCAAATCTTGGATCGCTTGAACACACTTCCCGTACATAAAAGTCACATTGAACAGTGTGGACAGCCCGCGTAGCGCCATGTGCATAGCCACGACAAGGCCCTGCATGCGGGGCCGCTCAGACGAACGCAGTCCCCCAGTCAGTGACCACAACTCGTCACAAGGGCGGCCAGGTGGCACCCTTGGTACAAGCCGCTGCCGCCTCCACTGGAGCTGGCAGCACCTGCAGCTTCTCCTCGGCTGTCAGTCCCTGCCGCTGCCGGCCGCTGTCATCCAGAAAGATGCAGTGCATCTGCGCCGTTAAATCCAGGCTCTCTACATACAGCTGCACGCAGCAGGGGGCGGCAGGGTGAGCAGCGGGCTGGCGGCGGGCGGGGCGGGGTGAGGGGCATGCGGCAGGCGGGCCCGCCCGCAGGTCCCTGCTGCCTCGGTGCTCCTCAGACTCCTGCAGCAGCCTCCTGCCCTTCTCGAGTCTCTCTCTCTCGAACTCTCTCAGCTCCCACGGCATGCTGCTGCTGCCCCCTCCTTGGCTCAGCCTGTGCGTATGTAGCGTACACCACTTCTGGCGCGGCTCGCACAGTGAAGGGAGGACGATGTGGCCACAGGTTTGCCTCCCCTGGGGCGGTGAGCTGGCGCGGCCATTGCTGATCTGGCCTGCTTCCCATGAACTGCATTCGACCCTTGGTCCTTGTAATGGGACCAGAAGGTGCGCCGCGCTGTGCTGCCAACAACAAGCAGCATGTCTGGCTGCCCAGCGCCCTGCTGCTCGTCTTCACTGGAGTGGCGGTCTGGTCCCCGGCCCGCTCGCTTGCCCGGGTAGGTGCACATGAAGAGCCAGCAAGATGCGAGGGTGGCAGCCGTGCACCAGCCGCCGTTGGCGGCGCCTCTCAACCCGCCCGCCGGGCGCCGGCGCCCGCTCCACTCCCCGCCGCTCGCCTGGCCTGCAGGGCCCCAGCGCACTGTTTGTTGAGCAGGTGCTGCTGTGTGACACAATCTTCGTCATTGGGGCCCTCCTGCTGCTCAGCTGGGCTCACCACTACGCACAGCACCAGCACCCCCACGCAGCGCCGTGCCGCGGAGGCTGGCTGGATGAGCACGGCCGCACGGCGCTGCCGCACGGCCACACACCCTTCATGCGCCTGTCCCGTCACGCCACAGCGCTGCTCCCCGCGGCCGCTGCGCTGCTGCTGGGATGCGGCAGCGGCGCCGCGGTGGCGCTCCTCCTGTTTGGAGGCTACCTGGCGGTGCTGGCTGTGCAGGCGCTTCTGGAGGACCGAATTCTGCTGCGTGAGTGCATCAGGGGCGGTTGCTGAGAGGCTCCCAGCCCATGCATCTGGGCAAGCCCACACCTGCATGCGCCACAGAGAGTGCCCGCTCACCTCCCTCCCACCTGCCCTCGTGCAGGCGACCCGCTGCGTCCTGCCGTTCCGCTTGTTTGTGCGCCCTACCGCTTCTGGCAGCTGGCTCGCTCGCTGGCCGCGCTGGGCGGCAAGCAGGCTGCGGTGGCCACCGCGCCTGGGTGGGCAGCGCCCCTGCTGGTCCTGCTGCTGGCGTGCTGGATGCTGGAGTACGGCGTGCAGGTCACACAGCTGCCCTGGGCCTTTGACTGGCACTGGCACAGCGCTGCGGTCGACGCCGAGAGCGTGAACGGCCATGTGAACGGCCATGTGAACGGCTGCTGCAGCAGTGCCATGCCCCAGCCACCACAACCTCTGGTCCTCTCGCCTTGCGTGCGGCTTGCATGCTTGGCGCAAAATTGCAACCAGGGCGCCGGGCAGGAACCCAGCCGCAAGCCGAGTTCAAAGCTCCAGCCAGGCGTCGGCAGCAGTCGTGGAGAGCAGCATGAAGAGAGCCAGCAGGCACAGGGCAATCAACGCGGCAGCAAGCTTCAAGCAGTTCTTGAGGGTTATTAGAGGCGTCCCTTGAAGGGAAGCGGGGCTGCCGGCGCCTGCCTGCACATGCTGCGCTGCCCGTCGCCTCGCTAGCTTGGCACACTCCTTCTGGTGCCCTCCCTTCCTCCAGTGCTTGGACTGGCACCGCCTGCTGCAGTAGGCCGCAGACAGGCAGCCCTTGCACTTCCTCACTCGTTTGCAGTCCTGGCCGCAGCGGCTGCACGTCTGCGGCGCGCTCGGCTGCGTGTCCGGCAGCTCGGCTTCGCCTGCTGCCGGGAGCGTGTCCTGCCCGGGGCTGCGTGCCGCCGCTGCGTCCAGCCACTGCTGATGCAAGGCGATGGCGTCCCTCAACGCGTCCCTGTTGTTGCCAGGCAGCCACTCCTCACACTGCTCCAGCGCACGCCTGCTGGCCGCCAGCAGGCCGCACACCTCCTCCACAGACCAGCGCGGCCCGCCGGCGCCTTCCGTCAGTGCGCCCGCCAGCGCGACGCTCGCTGCAACCTCGAGCAAGTACGCTGCACCCAGGGGGACAGGATGCTCGTCGCCATCAGAACCAGCGGCAGCATGTCGTGTGTAATAGGAACAAGCGGATGCAAGCGTTCCTTCAGTTGGTCTCACATCGGCAAGCAGCAGATCACCTTCACCACCGGCTGGCAGCAGCAGCAGCAGCGGCGGCGGCGGCGGCGGCGGCGCGGCTCGCCCTTGCGCTCCTGAGCCTTGCGCATCGACGAGCGGTAGGCAGCCACCGCGTCTTCCCCTGTCCCCGCCTGGTGCACACACAGCAGGTCGGCCCGCCTCATCAGCACAAAGGCGGCGTTGCCTGGGTCCGCCTCTGCCAGCTGTCGGTTGGCCGCCAGCGCTGCCGCCAGCCACTGCGGCGCCTCGGGCGCCCCAGGCCCCCGGCTCAGCAGCGCAATCGCCGCGTCGTGTGCGACGTGCAGCCACAGCCGGTGGGCGTCTGCGGCGGTGAGCAGCGGGGCGAAGCCCAAGCCGCGCTGGTGCTCAGCCAGCAGGCCCGCCACCGCATCGATGCCCTGCCGCCAGGTTGCCACCATGGCGCCAGCCTGGCGCAGGTTGCCCCGCAGTGCGGCCAAGGCCTGGTCCCCGTCATGGCTGGTGGTGAACAGGCTCATCAGCGCCGCCAGCGCCGTATCTCCCAGCAGCCTCCACCACGCGAGCGGCGAAGCAGCCACCTGGTGGCACTGCAGCGTACACAACAGCAAGCACACGTAAACCGCTCTCAAGCGTGTTTCATGTCAGGGCTACGCAAGGGGACGTGTGGCTGCCACCCAGGTCGTGCCGAGGCCTCCCTCACCGCATCATAGACGGCGCAGAAGCACTCTCCCTGCACCATCCAGGTATTGAAGGCCGCCGGCAGCGTGCGCAGCGCCAGCTGCGCCACCACCACCAGGCCCTGCAGGCGGGCAGGCCGGGCAGTGGTCGGCGCCAGAGCGGGGCACCGTGTCGGCGCAGAGTGCAGGGCGACTGGTCTGGCAACCAGGCCACTAGGAGCAGGAAGGCGGGCGCCTGCGTCACACTACCTGCTGCATCTCCTGCGCCGTCAGGCCCTGCCGCTGCTGCCCGTCGCCGTCAACGAAAATGGCGTGCCTCTGGACCGTCAGGTCTACGCCCTCCACAAACAGCTGCAGGCAGGCAGGCAGGCAGGGGGGCATCAAGGCGCGGCACGCGTCGGCGCCCACCCTGTCGGTGCGACACGCCTCCACACATGCAAGAGCCCCGCTTCGGCCTGTGCTGGCATGGCGAGCTGGCGAGTGGGGCAGGCACCTGGAGGTCGCTGCTGCCCCTGAACTCTGCGCTCTCCGCCAGCAACCGGCGGCCACGCTCGACCTCGCCCCTGAAAAGCTCAGCGATGCTCAGCAGCTCGGCTGGCATGCTGGCGGTTTGTGTCTGCCGCTCTGTGCAGGGTGGCGGCTCCTGCAGGCGTGGGAGGGAGGACAAGTTGGGAAATGGCGGCGCCCTGGCGGCAAGCAGCTGATGCTGGCGCACTCTAGTCCGGCGGTCGGCGCTATGCAGAACTCCGGTTTCTCTTCCTGATGAGCACCTTTCAGGCCGCGGGCAAGGCAAACAGCTCTTGAATATGTGTCGGTGGGGGAGCGGAACACACCTTGCTCTCTGGGCTCCAGATGTGCTGTTATTGTGCCCCGTGATTGAACTAGAGCGTACACACGGTGTGCCGCACACCCGCTGCCAGGGCCGAGGAGTGAAGGGAGGCTGGGCAACCTCTTCTTGCCCTGGAGACCCTGCCACCAACTGGAGATTGTTTTGTTGATTGAAAGCCGTATGGCTCAATGTAGAGCGGGCGCAAGCGCCAGCAGCACAGCGTCCACAGCATGGTGCGGGCACAGCAGTACCGGCGGCGGCGCCCGCAGGAGGCAGGAAACAGTTGTGATGATGTGAGATTCATAAATGAAGGATATCGGAGAGAGAACAAGAGAGAGAACCAGGAGGCAGGGTGAGCGCCCAATGACTCGTGTGCCCGGCCTGCGTGGGGCGAGTGCCACCAGCATCAAGCAGCGGCGGCGCTCGCAGCTGGGAACAGCTGCTCCCGAAGCTCCTTCTTGTTGGCCTTGCCCATCACATTCCTGGGAATGGCGGGAAGCACCACCAGCTCGGCCGGCAGCTGATAAGCAGGCAGCTGGTCCGCCGCCCAAGACCGCAGTTCGGGAAGCGTGAGCCTGCCGCCGCTGCCACTGCCGCCGACGCCGCTGGGTGAGCCCGGTGACTGCTGCTGCTTCAAGGCGACTACAGCTGCTATGCGCTGCAGGGCGGCAGGGGATAAGGTTCCCAGTAGCCATAATACAATTCCCCACCAGATGGTCCACCAAGGAAACCTGGAAGGGGCACGCAACAAAGCCGGCAGGTCCTACCTCGCCATACGTCTCATCTGACAGCCCCACCACCGCCACCTCGGCAATGGCTGGGTGCTCCAGCAGCACGCTCTCTATGGCCAGGGCCGATATCTTGTAGCCGCCATGCTTGATGATCTGCACGCAGCATGAGCGAAACAGGCGCGGTGGGGCACAGTGATGGCCTGCAGGGCTGGTCTGCGCGGCGTGGTGCCAGGTGGCAAAGCAGGCGCAGCAGGGGCAGGGCGCCATCAGGCAGGCGCTCACATCCACAGAGCTTCGCCCCAGCAGCCTGTAGTAACCATCCTCCAGCACCGCAGTATCGCCTGCAGTACGGCAGGTAACCCAAGGGCTCAGGGGGCGAGTTTGCCAGAGATAAGAACGCCGCCAGGAGCAACTGGCTTGCACATGTGCAAGGAAGGACGATCACAAGGCAACGCCGGGCCTACCAAGCAGTGCCCCACCTGTCAGGAAGAAGCCATGCCTGTCAAATGCCTCGGCAGTAGCGTCTGGCCGACGCCAATACTCCCGAAACAGCTGCGGGCTCCTCACCTGGAACTCCCCAGGGCCTGCAGGCAGGCAAAACACAGCAGGCACAGCACACCAGGGATGCTGAGAAAATTGGACGTGGCGGCCGGGCAAGGGCAGGTGTGGCCAGTGCCAAGCCCTGCCGCTGCATCCTGCCGGCCGCTAACAAACCACTCCCCAAGCGCTTGCCTGCGCCAGCGTCGCTGCCATCGGCATGCGTGATTCGCACGTCCACCCCAGGAAAGGGCTGCCCTACGGTCTCCGACCGCCGCTCGCCCCTGCAGCACGCCGGGTCGGCGAGCGACACATCAGCAGAAAGTCCAGGCGTTGCAGCAACCTGCAACAGCCAACCCCCAGCTAAGAAAGCACAGCATTGTCAGCCGACAGTCGCTCCACTGCCAGCACCTCCACCTGTACGGGTTGCCCAGAATCATCCCCGTCTCTGTCATGCCGTACCGCTCCAGCAGCCTCCGGCCCGACAGCTGCTCCCAGCGCTGCATGATGGGCGCCGGGCATGCCGCGCTGCCGCTCACCGTCAGCCGCAGCTGCACGCAGTGGCAATCAATCACATGCTCGGTGGATCCAGGCACCACATGGCAGCCACCGCCTGACCAGCGCCCGCGCCACCAAAACCACTAGCGGGTGGGTAGGGGCAGGCAGAGCGCCACGGCTCACCCCGCTCGCCGCAGCTGCTGTGGCTGTTTGCTGGGTTTTGTCCATGTCATCATACCGCGACAGAAGGTGTGAGAACATGGTGGGGACGCCTGCAAGCAGGAGCAGCAGGGCATCTGCGGCTCGGAGCAGCTTGAGGGCAGGGCATCTGGGCACCCCGAAATTACTTGAGCACTGGCAGCCTGCCGCTAGGCGGCAGCACGCCTCTACCCTCACCCATGAACACGGTGATGGGATCCTCTTTCCTCTGCAGCCAGACAGCAGCACAAGCAGCCATCATCATCATCGCAAGGACACACGCCAATGCAGTTGGCAGCAGCAGTGGCAGCAGGCCGTGCCATCAACCTCGTGAGCCCGTGGCCTGGCCGCCACCTGCGGCTCGCTCACCTGCAGGCGCTGCCACACCTCCTGCGGTGAGAACTTGGGCAGCATCTCCACGCACGCTCCTGCAGTCGCACGCGCACCAGGTAGAAAGCACGTGGCCAGGTAGAAAGCACGAGGCCAGCGCCAGAGGACAACCGCGGAGGCTCAGCAGGGACCCAAACAGTGCTGCGCAGTGCAGTGCATGCGCTGCGATGGGGCTCAGCAGAAGGGACGGGGCATTATAGCCCCCGAATGGCACACACCCACGCTCAGCGGGCAGTAGAGGGCATTCACCACGCCGTGCACGTGGTGCAGGGGAAGGGCGTGCAGGATTCTGTCCTGGGGTTGCCACTCCCACGCCGTGCACAGCGTGCGCACCATCGCCGCCAGGCTGGCATGCGTGTGCAGGGCGCCCTTTGGTCTCCCTGTCGTGCCTGCAGGCGGGAGCAGCGGATAGAGCAGCCAGAGGGCCGAGATATGCTTGGGTCTTGTGCAGATCCCCAAGCAGGGGGGGTTCCTGGGATTGAGTGAACAAAGCAGCAGGCGCTCATTGCGCTAGCGATGCAAGCGCAATGCTGCCCAGCAAAGCAGTACAGGCCCCCCTTTGGAGCACTGACCAGAGGTGTAGACTATGAGCGCCCCATCTCCCGGCTCCTGCCCTACCAGCCGCTCCTGCACCTCAGCTTGAAGCTGCTGCTGCACCGCTGCTGGCGCGCCTGCCGCTAGCTGCTGCTGCTCCTCAATCACATGCACCTCTGCGCCAAGCGGCTGCAGGCGAGGCAGGGCGGCCAGAACAGCAGGATTCAGGCGACACTTTGCCAAAGCGGGATCGGTATCAGCAGCTAGACGCTAAACAAAGCATCAGGGGAGTAGGTAAGCAGCTGCAGGTGCCCCACAGCAGGAACCAGTAGCAGCAGCAGCTGCAGAGGACTGGTCCATGCCTTGGCCAACGCATGGAGGCGGTCGGCATGGCGCTTGCTGGCCAGCACAGCCGCCACCTCAGCATCCTCCAGCACGTACTGCAGCTGCCTGCGAGTAGGAAGAGCAGTACAATGCGAGCGCATGAGCCCTTCAACCCGGTGGCGGCCAGTTCGGTGCAAGCCCACAACCGGGGTGGAACAGGAGGCAGCTGCCGCGCGCCTGTCAGGGTGGGAGAGGCAGCACGGCACAGCGATGCCGCGGTGCAGCCAGGCGGCCCAGGTGCCCGCCACGTAGCCGGCCCCAGGATCGCACATCAGCGCGACTCGGGGCCCGTCAGTGGCTGTGGTAGGGGCTCGCGAGGCACCAGGCGCCGCGCTAGCCCCGCCGCCGCTCAGCTGGCGGCTGGCTGCCAGCGCCATGGACAGCAAGTCGGCATACCTGCGGGGAGGGCAAGAATCCAACCGGCGTGGTGCTGTTGAATTGGAAAGAGTGAGGCCAGGCTGGGCAACCACACAGGCGGCAGCGGCAGCGGTGGCGGTGGCGGCAGTTAGGGGGCACCGGGTGTACAGCTCACCGATAGCTGCGGCCTCCCGCCACCAGCGCGGTGCGGGGCAGGAAGTCTAGAGAGGCTCGCAGCAGATCCATGCAGCTGAGGATGTTCACGTGAGGCAAACCCTGGCGAGGCGCAGCCCAGTGAGCGGTCACATCGATCGGCACTCCCTACCTGGATTGATCAATGCCGATTTGGGCTTGATTGGAGCCCCTTCCGGGGGACGGAAATGACACGTCGGATTTTCGCAGCAACCACTCCTACGCGCTCCCTATGCAATTCGACACTGCTTGTTCTCCGTCCAACATTGCAAACTCCAGGCTACACGTAGAACATGAACTCCCCCCTTTGACCCGCACCCCTCCCCCAACACAGCCGAGCCATGGCCTCGGCGCCTGCCCAGGTGCACGAGGTGCGAGCCAGCTATCGCTGAGAGGTTGCGGAGGACCGGCCGACACCCCCCGCCCACCCCGCCGCCTCCCCGCCCGCTTCGCAGATTGACACCCTTCGCGATGCGCAGCTGGAGGCGCTGGAATACCGGTTCCAGCTGGAGCAGGCCCAGCTCAAGCTTGGGGAGCTACGGCAGCAGGCGGAGGTGTCTGCGCATCCGCACGCCGCTCCCGCCTCAGCCTGCTGTGCTTCGGCAGGCGAGCTTCAAGAGGCGCGCCTGCAAGCGGCAGACCACAAGCTGCGGGCTGAGCTGGCTGAGCTGGAGCTGCTGAAGCAGATGGATGCCCTGCAGGAGCTGCAGTGGCAGCTGGATTGCGTGGTGACGCAGCTGGGCATGCAGCCCGTGGCCGCGCATGGCAGCAGCGCCGCCAGCGAGGGTGGCGGCAGCAAAGCCGAGCCGCCGCCGCTGCCAGGCATTGACCACATGCTGCTGCTCACCAAGGTGGAGGACTTGCGGCTGGCCCAGTTGCAGCTGGCAGAATACAAGCGGCGTCTGGCCTACACAGAAAAGGAGCTCGCATCGGCGCAGGGCCGCTGTGCTGCCGGCGCCGAGCAGCCGCCGCGCCGCCAGCCGCCGCTTGCGGCCACTATGGGCGGGCAGCCAGGACAGCAGGCGCCGCCAGGACAGGCGGTGCCTGCGGAGCAGCCTCACAGTGGCGGCGACGGCAAGCTTGGTGCAGGCGGCAGGGAGCTGGTGGGGGAGTTGCTAAAGGAGAATGAGCACCTTCGTGCACAGCTAGTGGCAGCCGAGGTGCTGCTGCTGCTGAGGCACCCCTGTTGCTGTGTCGCTGACTCTGGGCCAGAGCATTCGTGGTTTTGTTGAGTCCAGAGGCTTCAGCACTGTGCTTGATTGTGGCCACGCCAGGCTTTTTCTGTCCTGAAGGTGTTTTTTGTCTGCTCCTTTCCTCGCAGGAGCACTACCTCGCCCTGGAGAGGGACTATGATGTTGAGCTGCTGCTCAAGGCAGAGGCGGAAGAGGCGGCCAGCATCGCTCGGGAGGGCCAGCCGCCAAGCCCAGCAGCGGGGCTGGGGTCGGAGCCTGGCATGCTTTGGCAGAAGCAGCAGCAGAAGCAGCAGCAGCACGTGGCAGGGGCCAGCAGGGTGGGCCAGCAAGCTGCGGCGGGTGGCGGCAACCGAGGAGGCTCTCCCAGCCGCAGGCGGGGCCAGCAGCAGGCGGCGCTGTCGCCTGGGATGGAACGCATTGTGAGTGCATGCATGTTCCTCAGGTGCAGCAGTGGCAGGCGGCCCTCAAGCAAACGCAGGCGCAGCTGCGGCAGGCGGAGCAGCGCTCGGCGCCGGGCTGCATGGTGCCGGTGTCTCAGTGGCGGGAGGTGGCTGTGCAGCTGGAGCAGGCGCAGGCGCGCTATGATGCGCTGGAGCGACAGCATGCCGCCCTGCAGCACCGGGTGCCGGGCAGGACGGGTGCTGCTGGTGGCGCGGCTGCCGGCAAGGCCAAGTGCGGCGGCGGGGAGGAGTGTGTCACAGGCGAGGCGCAGCAGCCGGAGCAGGCTCCCCTCGCAGCGGCAGAGGTGCCCGGCAGCAGTTGCAGCGTGCCAGCGAGGTCCAGTGGCGGCAGGCAATACTCCCCAGAGCACTATGGCTGCACGCCTGCCAGTGCAGGTGCTGGTGCGCAGGGGACTGACCTGCCAGCTCGGCTTCTAGAGAAAGATGTTCAGCTGTTTGATGCGCACCTGCAGCGGGATCAGGCGGTACAGGAAGCTGAGCGGTACCGCCGCCGCCTGCACGCCCTGCTGGACAGCCTGAGCCCGCACCCGCAGGACGCCGCGGCGGCCGCCGCTGTTGCCGAGGCACGCCAGCTGGCGGGCCTGCCCCCGCTCCCACCCTCTGCTGCCGCCGGGGCGACAGCTGGGGCTGGCGTGGCAGCAGGCGTCGGCAGGCCGCCCGGCAAGGCTTCGACGAGCAAAGCCGCCGCGGGTGGCGGCAAGGCGGTGCGGCAGCAGCCGGGCGCCAGGGAGCAGGAGCTGCTGGACACCATTGCCCTGCTGAAGTCTGCCCTGGAGCGCACCAAGAAGGGCCTGGAGAGCGGCGTGAGCAGCGCCAAGTACATGCAGGCGCGTGTGTGTGTGCACGAGAGTGTGTGTGTGTGCATGTGTTGGATTGTGGGGGCCATGCTTGGCTGCATGGTCGCCTGAGCTGACATCCAGTAGTGCCCCAGGCGGCGACCCCCCCCCCCCCACACACACGCCCCTTTCCCTCCTGCGCCTGCTGCCCTCTGCAGGCGGTGGAGCGGGCCAAGCAGCTGCGGGCGCGGTGCCAGCAGCTGGAGGAGCAGGTGGCGGATGCGGGCAGGGTGCGTGATGAGCTGGCGAGGGTGCAGCAGCAGCTGGGCGCGCTGCACGGCACCCACTCGGCGCTCAAGGGCCAGCTCAGGGCGGCGCGGGAGCAGCGCGAGCAGGTGGCGGCGGCGCGGGAGCAGCTGCTGAGCGCGCAGGTGGGCGGCCGGGCTGGGAACCTCTTGAGGAGGCGAGGGTGGGAGCAGCTGCAGCTGCTTTCAGCAAGCTGCATGTTGTTCCTGCATGCTGCTGTTGCCCGGCCGGTCGCGGTCGCAGCCAGCCGGCGACCCCGCTGCCGCTGCAGGTTGCCGAGTTGGAGCGGGCGCTGCGGGAGCGGGATGCCCAGATGGAGGCCCTGAATTCCAGCACATCGCAGGCGTGTGTGCCTGCTGCCAAGGGCCGCCGGGAGCGCTTGCCGTTGCCGCGGCCGCCGCCGCTGCTGAGCAAGGGTGCCGCCGCATTCCACCACCGCCCGCGTGCATCGGGCCTGGCCGCCTTGGTCGCTGGCGCCCAACCCGCCGACCCCCCCTCTTCCCTTGGCAGGTGGATGAGGAGGTGCGCGTGCTGGTGGCAGAGGGCCTCCGCCCGGCAGACCTCATCCAGGAGCTGCTGGTGCTTCGGTGAGCTCCGTCGCAACTCCCGCTGGCTAGAGGCAGCCCAGGACAGCTGTGTGCTGCGAAGTCTCCTGCGGCTGCGGGAGATGTTGGTGACCTGTTGTTCCTGCTGGCGTAGCGCTGCTGCCCGTCCACGCCGTAGCCCATGCCCTGTGCCCTTCCTGCCGCCGCAGGCCGCGGCTTCGGGAGCTGGAGCGGCAGAATGCCGAGGTGTGCACTGAGCTGGCGGCGTTTGATGCCCGCCACTTTGCGCAGCAGCTGGAGGCCCTGGCAGCAGAGCACGAGCTTCTGCGGCAGCGGTGCGCGCGCTGGGAGGCGGAGGTCAGGGCCTTGTGCGAACGCCACGGCGAGCCGCTGCCGCTGGGCTTGGACTGAGGCAGCGGGAGGGCCAGCGGGGCCGCCCGCTGCTGACTTGGCGGCAGGGGACAACCCCGCCGGCCCCCCTGGACAGCAGCATGGCGGGGACTGCTGTTGGATGGCGAGCGAGCACACTGTTCTTGTCAGCCAAATGTAGGAGGGTGGGAAGGCAGCAGCAGCAAAATGAGAGCCTGTGGCGCCTGGACAGGTGGCCAAGGGCTGCTGCCCGGTAGGGTTCCAGGGGTGCCCGGGCATGCCGCATTATCAGAACTGCTCCCTATCCATCCAGAACATCCAACCAGTGCAGAGGGGCGTGTCGGCACGCGCTGCTGGCATGTGCCCTTAGGGCGGCTGCAGCGCACGTGCGGCGACACCGGCCCGCCCATCATGGCGGGGCATGGTGCTGGTTGGCGGGCTCTGCAGGACTGGCATGCGAATTGGTGGTGCCATGCCCGTTAGAACGCTGCAGCTGAGCTTAGAGTCATCCCTAACTAGTTAAGTGCCCGGGGCGGAGGGGGCCCAGAGCACATGTGGCGGCTAGGGCGAGGTGGAAAGAAGGGCATCTGCCCCAAACCCCTGGTGGTCTCGCCTCTCGGCTGCTGTTTGGTACCATCGTGGTCTGCTGAGCAGCAGAAGGGCCTCCCCGCGCGGTTCTAGCACCCCAGCAAAAAGCCCTGCACGTCCCTTTGTCCGCTGAGACAGCCGTTGTTTGCGCAGCGGCTGGGGCAGGCGTGTGCCCGGCGGCTAGTGGGTAGATAGCAGCAGCCCCACCGGGGTTTGAGCTCAGCGGCCTGCGAGATGGCTGCAAAAGACGGTGAGCAGTCGCCGGAGCGACCAGAATTCCATTGCAGAATGCTGGGCATGCCTCCGATTGGCGGCCGAGACGCACCCGGGGTCCCGGTTCAACGGGCAGCGGCCGGCCGCGAGATCGTGGTTCCCCAACCCGGTGCCCGCAGGCGACACCGCTGTGGGTGTGGGCGGAGAGGCCGATGTGGAGGTCGACTTCAAGGAGATTAGCGAGGAGGAGGCCCTGAACCTGCTCAAGGTGGGCCCCGACCACCGCAGTTGCTGCCGCCGCACTGGGGCCAGCACACTGGCAGCCGGCTGTGCTTGCCTGCAACCCCTCCTCCTCCTCCGCGGCTGCTGTGCCGCTGCACATGCGGTTACGGAGGCGCTGCTGCTGTCTTTGCTTTGCCGCGAGCGATCGCCGCTTCTCTGCCTGCTTGTCGTGCTGTGCTTGGGGCCGTCCCGGGGAAGCAGGCGCTGTGCGCTTTGGCCCAGCCCCCAGCACCCAAGCCCTCCTGCAGCAGCAGCGGGGCCAGGCGTGCCGTGCCTGCTCCCACCAGAAGGCCAAAGCAGCCCTCAGCATGGCCCGCCAGCCCGCGCTGCCCGCCCGCGCGCTCCCCCCTCCTGCCCTCGCAGCCGCACCACCCAGCGACCCCTCCCCGCCTCCCGCATGCGCCCTTCTGCCCGCGCAGGCCAGCAAGAAGGGGCTGACGAGCGAGGAGGTGGCCAAGCGGCTGGAGGAGTATGGCTACAACAAGCTGCCTGAGGAGAGCCGCAACGCCTTCCTCGTCTACCTGTCGGTGAGCCGCCCTCGCCCCTGCACCTGCACCTGCACCTGCACTCGGCGCCAGCCCTCCAGCACCAGCCCTCCCGCCCTCATGGGCGCCAGCAAGCCCCTGCCCCCACCCTGCTGGCTGGACACGCCTGCGTCGCGCGCGGGCGCCTGCCCCGCCTGCCCGCCCGCCTGCCTGCCTCCTGCTCCTCGCCACGCCCGGAGCCCTAGCCTGCCGCCCGCTCCGCCCCCTCGCCCTCGCCCACCCGCACCTCACCCGCTCTGTACCATCCCTGCACCGCCCATATGTACCGCCGCTCCGTACCGCCCATCCGTACCGCCGCTCCGTACCGCCCCGCAGTACATGTGGAACCCGCTGTCCTGGGCCATGGAGGCCGCAGCCATCATCGCCATCGCCCTCCTCGACTACGCCGACTTTGCGCTGATCGTGGCGCTGCTCTTCGTCAACGCCACCATCTCGTATGTGGAGGAGGCCAACGCAGACAAGGCCATCAAGGCGCTGACCTCGGGTGAGCGGCCGGGGAGGGGGCGGCCAAGGACAGGGGGCGAGAGGGCGGGCGGGGAGAGGGAGGAAGGGAGAGGGCGCGGCAAGAGAAGGGGAGGGCGGGGGCGTGTGCGCATGTGGCGGGTAGGCAGGGAGAGCGCTACTCCACAGCAGGCTGCGGAGGAGGGAGCTGGGGAGACGGGTGCATTGCCGAAGCATTGCCGCAGCATCCGGGGCGCGGCCTCCCTGCCCTCCCTCCCACCGTGCCGCTCCCTCATCCTTCGGTCACCTTGCCCCTCCCTCCCCGCAGCCCTGGCCCCCAAAGCCAAAGCTTTGCGAGACGGGCAGGTGCAGACGATCGACGCATCCAACCTGGTGCCCGGCGACATCTGCATCATCCGCCTGGTGAGCCTCAGCTCCTTTCGGAACCTCCTCTCGGCGGCCCCGCTGAGCCTGCGGGCCCGCTGCGTGGCGGCCTGGGGGCTTGCCGCGGTGGCCTTGCCTCGACAGCCTGCGGGCACAGGCGGCTGGCTCGCCGACCCCGTGCCTCGTGTGCTGCTCTGTGGTTATGCCTCCCTCTTTGCAGGGCGACATCGTGCCTGCCGACATCAAGATCCTGGGAGAGGAGGGCAGCTCCGGCAAGCCCGAGGACGAGACGCCCCTGCAGGTGGCCGCCCGCGCGCTGCCTGCGCTGCCGCGGCTGCCGCGGTGTGGCGGGGAGGCGTACTGGAGGGGCATGGGTGGCTCCGGAAATGCCCGGCGGCGCAAAGCTGGCGCTGCTGCCGCTGCGGAGGGGCCCGACACCCGCGCCTGCCTGCCTGCCTGCCTGCCAGACTGCCTCATCCCGCCCACTCCCGCCATGCCGCACGCTGCGCACCTCACCTCCCTTGCATTTTGATCCTCCTGGCGCCCGCAGTGCGACCAAGCCGCGCTGACTGGCGAGTCGCTCCCTGTCAAGAAGTTCACCGGGGACGTCGCCTTTGCGGGTGGGTGGGCCCGCGCGGCCCTGTCGTGTGGCCCGTGCGGCCTTGCCTTGTGGGCTGTGCGCCTGCCAGCCGCCTGCCAGCCTGCCTCCCAACACCTCCGGGCCGCGCCCCAGCGCCGCGCCTGGCTCTTTGCACCCCTCTCCCTGCCGCCTCACCGCCCCACGCGCCCCCACCCACCCACCCAACCTATCACCACCCCACCCGCAGGCTCCACCATCAAGCAGGGCGAGCGCCACTGCGTGGTGTACGCCACCGGCATGCAGACCTTCTTCGGCCGCGCCGCCGCGCTGCTGGGCTCCGCCAACCAGGTCCGCCAGCCTGCCTGCCTGCCAGCCTGCCTTCCTGCCAGCCTGCCTGCCAGTCTGCCTGCCCACCTGCCTACCTGCGGCTTCGGGCCGCGCCAGGGCCCGGCAGCCTGCAGCTGCGGGGGG